TAGTTTATTAATAAAATATTTTAAGTTTGAATAATTGCTATTTTTTTAGTTTAGCTTAAAATTAAATTTAAAATTATACAGAGGTGTGGTGACTTAGTGAAGTGGATAAGTTGTCAATCTCCCAAGTGGTAGATAAGGAGTTCAAAACCCACTGATGGCAAAAATTTGAAAAACCACCTATGTATATTGGTACTACAGGCATCTGTGCAATGTTGGAGTTATACAGAGAAATGCAAACTGGCATCAGGTGATGCAAATTCAAGATAAGTCCTTGTGTTTAGTACTATGACAATGACAATCCGTCGATCAGTTGGAATCAGTATCTGTAACATGGTCACACCAGATAACGGACAAGTCATAGGGCATCTGCGCAATGTTGAAGTTATATAGAAGAATGCAAACTGACATCAAGCAGGGCAAATTCAAGATAAGTTTTTGTGGCTGTGTAAATCTGTGAACTGGGAAAACTGGAGCCCACTTGGGAAGACCTGAGTAGAGAGGTAGCACAGATCTTCAACAGTACTACTATAAAGACTAGATCTAGAAAACAGATACTAATATAGAAAGAATCAGATAAGCAAGAACCTCAGATGATGGGTACCACCAACTAGGCTACTGGAAGTTTCAAACAGAAGAAAAAAGACCTTGGGAGGCAGACCCTAGAGTACCAGGGACAGGTCATAGTCCTACCAGGCTATCTGAATTAGGAGTCTGAGGTAAGAAACAGGGATATACTAAAGTACTAGAGATATGTTGTGAAGTCAGTACTAGGGTTTAGGTGAACTCTGCAAGGGTGAACCCTATTAACAAGATACTAAATATAGGTAGTTAGTTAACAAGAGGCCCTTCTGGAGCCCTACAAGTCAGGTAATGTACTCTGAAATGTGTAATGGCTTGATGGATATATAGACAGAGAGGTCATGATTAGGTTAGACAGTACTTAGGTGTATGGGAACTTGTGCACTATTTGTCAATATAAGTATAGAGATCAGAGTGTTTAAATAGGTAATCTTCTAGTAAATTGCAGGTATAGCAGCTAGTGTAAAACCTGCTATATGGGCAGACTACTTAAATTAGACAACCAAAAGTTATACATATGGCTAGTTGTATACTCATCTTGTACAAATTATGTAATTATAATTAAAATACAATAAAGGCAATAGTCGCCAATAACTATAGTCTTAAAAAAAAAAAAAAAAAATTTAAAATTACAAGTTTTATTATTTTGGCTTTTAAGAATAAAATTTGTAGATTATTTTTATAATTTATAAAAATTTTAAAAAGTAGTAACATTTTTTGTAAAATTGTTTTTTATATAAAGTTAAAGCTATTAGCATTATAGTTATAATTTATTTTTATAATATTTTTTTTTTGATTTTTACCTTCTTCTACTATCCTGAAGGTCCTTAGATACCTTAGGATCTCTCACTTCTCTTAAGGCCAAAGTCATCATTTAGCAGAGATCAATGGACAGCTGGTGGCCTTATATTATTCAGTCTCTGTAAGTTAATACACTTTATTGTTGCATATGTCATCTGTGGTATTTCTTAGCTATTCTGTGCCATGTGAAGGTAAGTATATCATCTTAGTGATATCTTGAGTCTCTGGCTCCATAGTGTAGAACACTGATAGAGTCTACAATTCCTTATCACTACAGCCTTACAGTTTCCTTTCTTATTTTGTTAATGTCCTAACTGTTTTTAATCCTTTTTAAGCTGAGTTTACTCAATTTTAGCATTTTTTGTTAACAGATTACATCTTATCTGGTTGTTCTTGACCTCATGATTATGTTGCTGTACTGCATTCAGATGTATGGTCTTTGTTCTTAATTGAAGGAATCATCTTAATAATTATTTCCAATCATAGTCCTAGCTGAGCATTGTTCTTCAATTGGATTCAAATCTGTGACCTTGTGATTGTAACTCAGGAGTGCTAACTATTGCACTATTAACTCACAGATCATCTTTATAATATTATATTAACAATAAATTAATAATATTTTATTAACAAATCAATTACTTTTTCTAACAATTATTTGAATCAAACTTTTCAAAAAGCTAAACTACAGAAAAATAATATAGTTAATATATTAAACTTTATGAAAACCTTTTTAAAGTACTGTATATATATTGTTGGATATTGAAATCAAGTTAAAAAAGAGTTGCAACCTTGTAGTAACAGTTTAAAAAACACTCTAAGACTATAGAAGAAGTAGTCAATAAAAGTCAAGGTTTCTTATTAAGTAAACAACAAAGTTGAATATATTAGTTCTATACAACTGTAAAACTTATAAGGAACATTCACAAGAGTTTAGAACTTACAAAAGCTAAAAGTTGGTTTATTTAGTATTTCTATTTTTTTTTAAAGAAAATTTTGTAAAAGTGAATAATTCAATTTATTCTCTTCTAAAGATTAACACATAAATCACCAAAACAGTCAGCAGTATTTACTTTTTAAATAAGATTGTTAATAAAATGAATTAGAAATAATACAGCAATACAAACATGACTATATACATGTCCCAAATTGCAGAAAATCTGTCAAACATTGTCTTCAGACTAACCAGTATCCTATACTGACCTTCTATAATAAAATCAAAGTTTTTTCCCCTTTTTAGTTTTTGTTTAAATAATCTAAGTAAATAGAAAGATAGTAGAATAATTTTTATTTAGTATAGTTTATAATTTTTACAAGTTCAACATAGGCTTATAACTGTGATTGTCTAATATCTGTAAATTGCAAGTTTTATGTCTAACACAGGCTTAAAATCATGACTGTTTGATTTTTTGTGAATTACAAGTTTTATATTTTCTTTTTTTTTCATTTATTTTTTTTCATCTTTTTATTTCTTGTTTTGTATTTTTTATCATTTATTTTTATATTTCTGTTTTTTTTTTATATATAAAATCTTTTTTGTTTTTTTTTTCTTATAAAAAAACATTATCAGATTGGTGATATTCTCTTGTAAGGCAGCAATTAGACTAGCAGTCTACCTCTGTTTGAAGTAGTGCAGCAGGTTACACTTAGGTACCAATAAGGTAATTAGGTAATGCTAAACTTAAGTATTAAAAAAATTCTCTGTAATTTGTATAGTTTCAAGAATTCTAATAAAGTATTAGCATGACTACTTAAATTAAAAAAAAAAAAATAAATAATAATAATATTTTATTATATTAGCAATAAGTTAATAAATTTTTTTTATTATATTTATAAATTATATAAATATATTTCTTAACTACTTAAACACTAAATCAAACAAGTTTAATAAAAATAAATTGCTAAAGAACAAATTAGCCTAGATAATTGTGATTAATAAAATATACTGATAAACTATATTACATTTATTTCTCTATATATATATTTACATAATTATAAACTTTACAATTATACAATATTTGATTACTAATTAGAAAAAGTAAATTATTGAGGATTGGTCCAAGTTGGAAATGATCTACTTTACGTAGAGGGATCTACTCTATTTTGCCGACACCCATTTAACCGACATCACACGGATAACAATTTACTATTAAAATCTATCTGCAACTAATAAAATTCTAACCCTGTGCGATGTCGGTTAAATGGATTGTAGATAAAAGAAAGTAAGATCCACTTCACATATTGAGATAATCAATGTTTCATATGAACCGGAATGGACTAACATTTTTAATTAAGTATCCGGATCCGAACTGAAAACAGAGTCAGATCCAAAATTTTGGATTCGAAACTATTGCCGTGTCATGTAAATCTGGATTCGATACGAATCCATCCTTGAATTGCACATTTTACAGAGTTATTCTAACTTATGTAAGTTAAATTTTAACAGATGCAACTTACGTAACTTACATATTTTACACCTATTTACTCAAATTTTATTTTGGAACTTTGCACCAATTTTGGTCTCAATCTTGTTCACCTTTTACATTTACTCGGGATAATCCCCGATTTACTCAAATTAATTCACCAATTTGGGTCTCAATCTTGTTCACCTTTTATGTTCATAATATTTTTTACTCGGAATAATTCGGACAATTCGGAACAGATATTTTTTTCCAGATCAGGTATTACCGAACAGATATTTATGTGAATCTATCTGTATCCGCATGGATCTTATAGTTCATGGATCCGAATTCGATCCGCGAAACCATAGATAATCTTAGATACGTACGTACGTGATATAATGCAAAGAAAACCCGTTATTCACAATAAAATTTATATCAAATACAAAAGAATGTGAATTGCATGTATTCTCTTAGAAGCATTCATACATCAGATCCAATAAGGATAGCGATAGCAATAATAGCAATAATAGCAATTGGGTGCTTCTCTGTATATGGAATTCTTCAATTCACCGAGTTTCTTTTTTTTTTACAGCTATTCTATCAATGAAAGTATATAATTATTATTAATATTAAAAAAGCAAAGTCTACGTCTAAAGATGGCTTTAGTTTCATATGATCAATCTCAAGATCACAGCCCGAAAGCCATTAGCATTAATCCTTCTTTTTTTTTACGAATTCATGATTATACTTGTTGACCAGACCAAAACTTTAGCTAGATTTATTTTCCAAAAACTTTATTAATAATCTTTATTTAAACCAATGATATAATCTTCTTATTTAAGATTTCATAAATGGCAATTGTTTTTTTGGGGGAGATTGGTACTTGTCTAGAATTTACTAGCAAGTATAATCATGTTCGTGTCTTGATATTGAAAAAGTATGTCATAATGCAACGAATTTTAATATTGATATGGGTATGAATAAACCCATATTGATTTATTTGAATAGTTATTTTTTTTGTTCTATGAATTGATTATTAATCGATGAGTTAGAATTAAAATCATGTGATTTTTAACATGACCAATTTAATTTATGGGCAAATCAATTCCATTTATTGTTCATTCAATATTATAGAATAAGAGTGAGAGAAGGATATGATCAATTCGAAATTTAGTATAAAAGATGGACATATCGAAATAAAAAAAAAGTCAACCATTCACGATGGCAAAAATTATTATTATCATGTAAGAAAGCATTTTTTTATCATTGAATATTTGTTAACATATGATATTGAAAAATTTTCTTATCTTTTCTATGATATTTAGTTATGCTACATACACTCACGTATATCAATTGGCCTTAGAAATAAAAAAGGGTGTAGAAAGTGCCGGATACGGATCGGAAGTTGAAATTTATCAAGTTCCTGAAACTTCACAGGAACAAGTCCCAAATCAAGTGCATGAACACCAAAGGCCGGATATTCCATTTATTATTGCCGAAAAATTAGCGGAAGCTGATGGATTTCTTTTTGGAATTCCCGCTAGATTTGGAAAATTCCCAGCTCAATTTAAAGAGTTTCTAGATTCATCAAGTCAAATTTTAGGTAAAGAGTCATTAAACAATAAATTTGGAGGAATTTTTTTTTCAATGGATGCCCAACAGAATGGTCAAGGTATGAGATCATAAAGAATTAATTAATTAGTCTAACTAGGGTGTGATTTGGATAATCCGACTCGAACTATAGATAACTGTAGTTCAAACCGTTATCCGGATTGCCGATCAACGGATCACACCACTAAGCCTAACCAATTCACCTGATTAATTTACAATAACTATAATTCGTTGCAGAAATGATAGCTTTCACAGCAATAAACTGGTTATCGTCTCATGGTATTAACTTTGTTCCACTCAGTAATGGATCATATGAAGGATTGATCGGAGGATCTTGGGGAGCTAGCACTGTTACGGATAATGAAGGTTTATCCGAGAAAGAGAAAGAAACAGCACAATTTCAAGGAAAGAAATTTGCAGAAATTGTTACAGCTTATGTTAAAGGAAGGCAAGAATAAGACACATAAATCTGATGAATTATTTCAGAAATAATTATTGAAACTAATTTTTTTTTGTTTACCTATCATAATAATAGAACGACCTCAGCGGCAAATATTGTCAATGTCACGGTAAATCCAACTGAAATTATAAATGAGAAAATAGAAAAGCCATCTAGAAAGTTCTTGATTAGTCGTAAAGAATAAGAATATAATTAATAAGATTCTATGAAAAACTTATATAACGATAATATATAAATCATATACTTTTTATCATAATAGGGATAAAAAATTAATCGTAAATGATATATAAGTTAATATAGTTAAGTAATTACAGAATTGTTATATATGATAATTTAACTGTCAAAGAAAATTTATTTGTAAAAGTTCTATTGTTATATATCTGTATATACAATATAGATATACATACTGTATATTCTTTATATTCTTTTATATACAGAACTCTTGTTAACAAATAAAAAAGATTTGGTATTTATTTGCACCGGAAATAATGTGATATATTTGTTAGTAAACCACATCAGAACCTAACACTGGTCGGATTGACACACATAACCAACAAATACATATCGATATATTATTTCATATGATGAAATATCCATAAACGATTATACCTATATAATCAAAATTGCACAGACTACGTACATTTCATAATGATCGCTTACTAGTTATTACACCAAGTTTTATTCGCTATTCCCCGATCTTAGGAATATAAATGAAGACAAAGAAATGTGATTGATTAGTAACACGAATCCTTGGCATGTTATGTGGATATGCCACTGGGGAAACATTTCACCATTTCTGCTGTTCTGGGACTTAATGGCAAGATAAATTTTCATTATGTGGATTTAAGTCCACGGATATAAAGAATAAAATGAAGTGAATTACTGATATCAATTTTCACATTATTTCAGATTTAACGAAAAAAAAAGTAATTTATTTTTGTGACTCATTATTTCTTATCGTTATAGCGAGGGCGAGGACTTATAAAAAGTAATAAATTGCTTAATTTAAGGCTAGCTTGTATGTTAATGAATCATCTATATTTGTAGTTTATCTCTTTAAATTAAAAGGCGTAATATTTTTAATGTAACGGTAATGGCCTTGATGAGAAGAGGAATCAAATATGCTCAGCATGTGCAAGAGTTTGTCATAAATTATACCGAATATACAGAAGGCTTAAAAAATGCACAGTCAATCCTCTATAGCTTATGACTATATTTAATTTTTGACGCCATATTGATATTTAATTAATTATTACAATAGATTTACTAATATAAATCATATCAACCAAATTATTCACTTTTTATTCAAGCATCAGATTTATATAACGATAGCAATAGAAAGACGGATAATTTTAGAATGCGTGTAAAATACGTAAACATGTATGCGAATATGTTGAAAGTCATTTTTGATAGGAACTCTAATAGGAAGTTGAAAGTTATTGTTAAAACACCATATATAGTTATATAAGATGCTAAAACATTACATACATGAAATTTATATATATCCCTATGTATTGCCGTTTGGGCAAATGTACCCTTACGTATGAGATAATCTTTGTAATGGTTTCTTTATTAGGGACGATATTACCGATTTATCAAAAAAAATGACTTGCCAGATAGTTCGAAAATACGTTAATCATAAGGCAATTCAACACAAATCAGTATTTATTTGGTATATATTGATATATATTCAGCCACAAATAAGCGCCGATTCAATTTATAGCATGATTTTTATTGTAGTGTTAATAATTGAATGCATCTCGATTTGTAGTGTTAATAATTGAATGCATATCGATTTGTAACAGATTTTTTCAAATTTATAATCGAACTTTCTTCTATATAGCAGTGCGCTAAATTTGTATCACATATCGATATGCAATTTGCAATAGTAAACGAATCATTAAACCAAAGTTCAGTACGTATTCGTACCGATACATGCCAATCATACACACTACAACCGTTCATAGCAAACGGGACAATCATAAAATTTGACATCTCATTAATTAAATTATAGCGATAGTATAACTGATTATTAATCAACCTCCCTGAGGACAGCGGCAGATTGATCTAGTTATTAATCCCTGTAAGCGTTAGGTTTACATACCATTTTCACTTCATTTCTGCATGCCGGAGTCACTGTCGTATATACATATAGTACAGTGGTTTGGACAGCCTAACGACACAAAATTTCACAAAGATAACTTATCTGTTATTTGTTATGTTTTAACATAGAATCGAGAAGAATCTTAACGATCAAATCCGATTATATACTGACCACAAGATATCTCAAATTGTATCCTTACTTACTATACAATAGTATAGTATTCAGACAAAGATAAATTTATCTAGAGACTCAATGATAAATTTTTTTCAGAAATTTCCATATAAAGTATAGAGTAAAAGAGATTTTATACGGATTAACTTTATATTGACTATATACTTTACCTTGTCCACCTTATTTTCTAATAAAAATCGGAACATTGCTGGCACATCCTCATTGGTTCGTATTATGTAGAATTTTTGTTTGTTACTCAGGGAAAGTTGATTTTGCGTTATCATTATTATTATGCTTTATTTTAAAAGATAAAGAAAACCGGATTGATCTGATTAGATTTTAAGGAGGTTAAGAAAGATATAGTGATGTAACATAAGATCTGTTTTATACGTATGATGTTTATTGTGTAGAATAAAAAATGACAATTTTGTTTTATATTAATTAATTATCGACTAAACCAAATACGTACGTGCATATGTATGTACGTTTCATTTTCTGTGAATTATTATTCGACCAGTTTTTTTATCGAACTTGATAAGATATATTTTTTGAATTATGCATTTTTTGGCATTTTTTTGTGATCCACTTAGTTTCACATCATCGCTCTTTAGGACTGGTCCAGATAAACCTGATCATTGTTGGAAAAAGGAGTTAATATGTCATAAATATATCATATGACGTTAAACATATGAAATGTTTGGTAAACCTGGTAACATGTGAAAATCTACAAGCGAAAGAAATAAAATTTCCGTTAAATTAAAAACAATGCTTTTATTACGTACCGGTATCACTATGTTTTTTTAGTACCGTATTACGGAAATTTTAAAGGTATTTAAAATGCTTTATTAGCCGTATTAGGTCGTATTGGTATAGCGTAAATTACACCACATCGCATGGTGCTCAATGAGAAATTAACTGTAACAGTATAAGAAACTGTAATTATTAATTTATTTTAACGTATTTCATAATTTGAATCAGTTAATTAAATAACTGGACAATTTAATCCTAAAATTATAAATAATACCTTCTTTAAATAATATTAAAGAATCTGTATAGGTTCAAGTCAAGATTTCATAAAAGTTTTCTTAAGGCCATCTTTTGAAAAATTACTGTCTAAAAAATTGTGAAATATTCGTAAATAATTAATATATACGTATCAGAGATTATATTGTATAATTAATAATGATTTATGGTCAATCTTTAAATGCATACACACGTTTCTACGTATGCACTTATGTCCCGAAGCTAGAATTAATCCAGAATTTTCCTCCTTGGAAAATGATTACCTTATAAGGTTTCTTTTTTTAAATACGTATATATATATTTAAAAATATAAATATATATTTAATAAAGTTTATACATACGTAATAAATTAAATAATAACGATAATAATAAATTTTAGCAATTAATTTAGTAATAAACTTAATTAAGTATGTATGTATGCACTTTAACAATTATCCCTCTTCAAATGCGCCTCCTTTGAGGAACATGCATTTCACAAGGGCCTCACACTTGCTTATCCAAATAAGCAATCTCATTCTAACTTTCCGTTGAAAATAGATTTTTTTGTGTTTTGATCATTACCATGTCATCTCTAAAGATTATCCCAAACAATCATCTGATCTCCACGTTTTCCATCAGCATGCCAACTGGCCTATAATAATCTAAAGATTATGTATATTTGTAATCTGATTAAATACCTTAGTAATAAAAAAAAATTTAATTAATTTTTTATTGATTTAAGAATATGTGTAATAGTCATGTGAACTACAATGTGCGTCTGACCGTTCCTGGCATTGCCTTATTTTTTAATTTTCGGTTTCTTCGTGAAACACCGACATAATTGGTTACAAAAAAAAATTAAATGACCCACTAATCGACGAATTACTCATGAATACATAATTTTAGTATGAAGCTTACTAAAATAAAAAATAAAATTTTGGTTCGAGCATAAAAAAAATTCTTTTTGTTAATTTTATGTTACTCTTCGGTTTACCCGGATCAAATATCATCGTAGATTAATCATCATAATTTTTTTTCTATTTATATAGGATCAAGGGTTTACATCTTCTTCGTTTCTTTGGCGTTGTTGGTGGTTGTTTTTTTTCTTAAACCCATATCATTTTTTAATACTGTTACGTTTCTTTTTTTTTTGGTTCTCTTGTTCTCTAGTTTTTATTCCATTTTGAATAATGTATGATAAAAAATTATTATTGGATTAAAAAAAAACAATACCTTTCCTTCACCAAAAACAACAACCCTTTTCTTACTTTTCTTACATTCTTTATTACCTTGTGACCGTCCGATCGAAAGAACTTTGATTCTTGGAAGTATCTTGAATTAAATTCTTTAAAAAAAAAAACTCCCAATTCTGGAAAAGATCAAAGCTTGCTTCTATTCATTACCGTATAGAGTCGATTTAATGTGTTTGAAAATATTTGAGGATTGCCGGCCATTCCAATTATAACTTCTTTATAAAAGACGTCAGATACAATATATAAAATTTTGAATGTAAGATGTCAAGTAATCAAAAAACTTATTGTAGAAAAGAAACTTTGTCGACTTCTGTCATGTATAATAAAAAAAATATCAATAATATTGACTTACAATGTACTGGACTAAATAAAGTAGTTAATGAAAACATTGTAGAAAATATTATTGAAAATGATAATTTATTAACTGATCATGGAAATAATTACGTAAGCATTTCTTCCTTTGATTTGCTATCTATCAACTCTTATATCTCTTCTATCTCTTATATTTAATTTAAGAACAAAATATAAATTTAAGAACAAAATATAAATCTATATACATACATATACTGATATAAATTTATATAATATTTATTATCATTTAATAGTTACCTGTAGATGAATTAATACAACAGTTGCGATCCGAGCTAAAACAAACAAGGGAATTAATTTCCGAACTTGAATCACGTTTAAAATTGTAATTATATTTATTTTCTTTCTATGTTTGTCTCTATTAAGATTATTGAAATTTTCATGTTCATATTATTTTATTATAAACACTTTTTATATAAATAGAACCGAACAAACAAGTCAGTTGGTTCTAAGTGAATTAAAATACTTAACAGAACATGAGTACGCCATTTTTCTTATATATATATTTTTTTTAGAAATCATACATTGCATAAGAATTTTATTTTAACAATTTCATTTATTTCATTTTTTTATTTTTTTATTTTTTTTTTTAAAAAAAAAGATCAGAGAGTTGTTCTACTGCAGTTGAGGAAATAAATCAGGATTATGATGATTCCGATATGTTTAAAATGATACCTGACGTGAGAATATTTTCTTCAGATGAAATGATTGATAATTATGATTATGAAACCTGTGACTCTGATGATAAATTCTTAGAATTTAAACAAATAGATGATGCAAAGGATACAAATGATACAAATGATACAAATGATTCATATAATCGAATATGTACTTCTCTACAACAATTAATCAATGAGGCTCAAATAGCTTTACAAAAAAAGCCTTATAACGATAATGTTCATCGTTCTCATTCACAACAATGTTTAGGGTTACCTTCAACAAGATCACGTTCTTCAAGTAGAAGTTCTAATGTTAGTAATTGGTTAATGAATCATTGTTCTGCCACTTCTGCTTTGGAATGTGGTTGTGGATGTTGTATACTTTGTTTGGCTTCTGTTGATAATATGTCAATCATAGAAAGCAGACCTGCTTCAACGAAAACTACTCCAAGAGCTTCTCGACGTAATTCCGTTACTTCTCGACGTAATTCCGTCACTTCTCGTCAAAAATGTCAAAAATGTTTAAATTATGGTATACCTGATATACCTGAAGAAAATTGTTCCAGTTTCAACAAAAAACAACATCAATTATCAATACTTAAACGTCTTTATCGTCATCAACTTGAACATAAAACTGATTATAGAAAAAGTTGTGAAAATTTAGAATTAGAATTACAAAAATTTGTCTCTACTGCTTTAATGGATTCATCTTGTGATGATTTTTATGAAAATTTCGAAGGTTTTGCGTGTCATAAATGTAGAAATGATTCGAAAAAATTCGATTTAATTGTAGATCCTCCTAAAAATGATGGTTCGATATGGAGAAAACGAATATGGAATTATTTAAAAGAAAAGATCTTGACCTCCTCTTTAATTTCTTCAAATACAAGTTATAATAATAACTCTTCTGAAGATTTACATATTGATGTTTTTGATGATCTTACTAATAATAATTGGTCAAATTATTATAAATATGATGATTACTCAAATTCTTCTTCAACTTATTCAAATGATACTAGAAATGATGATGATTCTACTCCATTTCCATCTTCATTTGGTCAAAATTTTTTTTGTAACGTGAACATTATGAATTTTGTTACTAACAATACAAAAACGAACAATAGAACTTCTTATTACAATAATGATAATAGTAATAATAATAACAATAATAATAATAATAATAATAATGTTAATACTACGAACAATTATTATAATCATACAACCACTACAAATAGTAAGGAAAATAAGGTGACAAAAAATGTGTCAAAGGATGTGAAATCAAAATCAAATATTCAATCAATTACAAAACGTTGTATGAATTTATTAGCTATAATTGGTGTTTTGGTTGGGGTTTTACAGAATGGTTTCATCCATTCAAGACGAAATGGTAACCTCAATTTTAATTCTAAAAGAAAATCAATTGGAGGTCCGATATTAGACATTATTTCTCTTGCATTATATACAAAAAAAAATCGTAGTGTAAAAAGTAAAAGGGATATATTAGTCATGATGAGGGTTATAAAATATGTTACTGTGTTGTTTGTTGGATGGTCTGTCGGACGAATGGGGGTATAAATTTATTTAAAAAATTTAAAAGAACTTTCGAAAAAAAAAACTTTTTTTAAAAAAAGTATTAGTATTAGCACAAGTCTAACACTCGTATTTAGATCTAAGATTACCGGTAATTTTTAGATCTTTTGATATTCGTAATAATAATATCTCGGACCGCTGAGTATTGGCAGAAACTTCGCTTCCGCTTGTACATCTAAGGTTCTGGATATTATTGAGATTACGCTTTTAAAATCGTAATCATCGTAACGTTAAAACGTGTCATTAATTGCGCGTCGCTAAATTTTCGTTGTAACATAAAAAAAAAAAACAATCTCGTTTAAATAAAACAATTGGCAAAATCTGAATATATAATGAATTCAATAATTAGGTCACGTAAAGTTATCGTAAAGTTATAGTAAAGTTATTGGTTTTAAATTAAAGATGAATGGTCTAACTCTAGTCAACACTAAATTAAACTAACCTTGCCTTTAAACAGGTTTGTAAAATACTGTAGGAAAACTGAACAATTAGTACATTGATTTAAGTGTAAAATGTGTAAATTTTGTACATGAATTTATAGTACAATGAACTTCTCAGCTTTCGGTAAGAAAATTTAAACCGTCTTTTATACTATTTTTTATAATACCTTTATATCATGATATTTGTGATTAAAAAGGATTCGAAGTTAAGAGGTTGCAACCTACTAACGTTAAGGTTACGACCTAAATTGTAACCTCTTAAAAAAATTTTTTTTATACTATAAGAATTACTAAAAAGAAATTGTATCCTCTTGCAACTTTTAATATTTAGTCAGGATATTAAACTTAATTGCAATGTGTTGTATTTAAACTTGTCATTGAATAATTAGTTGAATACCTTTGTTAGTTATATATTCTCGCCATTTAATGACAGGCTTAACACACTAGTACCATTGAATAACTGCCTAACTATGAATCCCATAATTATGTTCTAAAAATGGTTTAGGATCTCAACGATATCGTTTAACGCATGAAAGTTCATACAGCAAAAGTCGATCTACTACGAAAGCAACATCGGCAATCTCGATATGGAAGGTTTGACCCCTACATAGATCAAATATCCTCCTTGCACTTTGAGCATCAATTTTGTGATAACTAATTAAATAAGCCAAAGATCCGTCTTTATTAAAATCATCAATATCGGATATATCGAATATGAAGAATTTTTTAGTTTGGAGTTTTTTAACCACATTAGGATCCTTTTAGCAATGTCATCAATTATAAGTACTGGATGAATAGAATATTTGTTAACCACTTTCGAAAATCTATCATCATAAGATGTAGAGCGGAAGTCTTTGTCTTGAATACCGTATTGTCGCGAAATAACGCACAGGGGTGAAATTACGAATTTCGGCCTAAATTAAGCTTAATACGGGCCATTATTCTAAATAACGCTCGTGGCTGTTATTTCGCGACAACACGATAGTGGCATCTTCATGTTGAACATTTCTGCTGTTGTAAAACACGTTATGTGATGCACCGGTGGTTTTTTATCTTGAGGCTCAAAAAAAGAAACACTTACCACTTAATTGATTTGCCAGCCATTCAACAAGGTTAACATCAAGTTTAGGATAATTAATTGCTTTTGTAAAATTTCACCAAATTTTTCAATATCATCTGATTCTTCAACACATAAAGGGTCTAGTTGCAAAGTTAATTAGAGTGCCTTTTCCACAACCATAAGGACCAATAATATGATAGTTAATAGGGTCTTTCTAACGTCGGTTTCAGAATCTCTTTAACTAGATCGTTTCCTGAAAATATCATCTCTTATTAGTGTTAACTTAGTATTAAAATAATTTTGTAAAGTTTGAAAACCATTGTACTTTTAAAAACAGTTCTGATAACGATAAGCCCAAAATGGAATAAATCTTGCAAATGATACACAACCTAGACGTTCTATATGTTTGGTAAACACTTGATAAGTTTTAGAATAGAAATGGTTTTGATGTATTTGACTGCTCTGGTCACTTTAAGTTAGACTATTATAATATAAATTTTATGAAGCCTGAAGACTGTGTAATACAGTAACTTACGTTTTGTTACTATAAAGGCGGATGGAGCATGATTATGACCAGAAGTTTGTCTGATTGACTAGTAAATTCAATTTAATTTTATATTATTTATACATAACGAAATAAAAAAAAAAGGTGTATAGAAGGTTTCATTAGAGCCGTAGCCAAAAATAAGATCTAATTCTCGTCCGTTTAAAAAAGTTAGTATAGTTAATAACTTTTCAAAACCCGATAAAATCAACTTATTACAAGCTAATTCTTTTAAACGGTGAGAATTAGATCTTATCTTTGACTATGGAGTCCGACAGCTCTAATGAAACCTTCTATATGGTTTTTTTTACTTTATCATGGTTGGTTTTCGTTTTTTTTAAAAAGCACTCTAAACTGTTGAATTTATTAGCGGATCAGATCAGACGAACTTCTGACCAATAAGCATAACAGACAGAGCTATCACGTGGTCTAGACTCAGCTCCAGCTCTACTAATAAAGCATTTGCTCTAAAAACGGCTCGGCTTGAGACCTTGTGAAGCTGCGAGCCGATAGATCTAAATCACATGCCCATTGTCCAATAGTGAACGATTACAGTCGTTTTCATAAATTCTGAGAAATCTGACTGACCTATTCAATAAGTTTTTACGTATCACTGCCGAATCAAAACTGGTCAAATTGGCAAATATTCAGTTGGTCAATTTTTATCAGATTTTCAAGAATTTATGAAAACAGCTGTAATTAATGCATGATTTTATTCAATCACCCGGGTAACTCGCAAGTTTTAGAATTCAAGGCTTCGTTAAAAATAAAATAAACTGTTTTATTGTTATTATTATTAGTTACATTAAATGCTAGAAACAGTCAACTAAAAAGATGGCCTTAATGAAAGGTTCTATCTACCGCTTAATTATGCCGCCAAAATTTATTTATAATGATCTTAATGCTTACATTTTGTGTTATATAGGCAATCGGATGAAACATAAGAATGAATCTGAATCTGATGCTTAATTTCAGCTAAACAGTTAGCTTACTCGTCCTAGTCACCACGTAGCGGTGTATCCTATGACTAGGTTTATAACAACCTA